ATCTTCACACAGGCTAGAATGTTATAGCTACATACTGTAGTGAGATTGAAAAAAAAGACACAAGTCCATCGAGTTCAACCTATAGAGAGAGAAAAAAAAATAGAGAATCCTCCATAAACAGAACAGAACAATGTGGGTGAGTCTCTTTAATGACTAAGGTCTTGTTCACACCTAGGCGTATTGCATATGCGCGTCTGTCGCGCGTTTTTTTACCGCGATTCGCGGTAAAAAAGTCGCGCAACAAACGCGCGTTTCCGAAGGCTACTTGGCTGTATCCCAATGGAAACGCGCAACAAAACGGCCCAAAGTAGTACCTGTACCTTTTCAAGCGTGGGCCGTTTTGTAGCGCGTTAGGGACGGGCGGAAATACGCCAAGGTGGGAACCAGACCATTGAATACAATGGGATTTATATTTTTGAGCGTTTTGTAGACCGTTCGTCGAGCGTAGAACGCGCTACAAAACGTTCAGGTGTGAACGAGGGCTAATACCAATCCGAAAAAACGTTAGATAACTTGCCACACAGAAAATATAGAGGCTGCCATAGCTAACTTTTCCTTCTGGAGATGTTGGCTGCCTGGTTGTCATGCTTCATTACCCTCAGTGATCCAGAACACGTTGGCAGATCAGGGGTTCAGGACTTCAGTATTAGTACTTGATACATGCTGATCCATATTTGTGACCCAGTAGTTAAGTCAGGGAGCTGGCATTGCTGTCCTCTCCTGAAGATGGATACAATCCTACAATTTCTAGGGTTGCTTTAAAGAAGAACTCCGTGCACATTTTTTATTACAAGGGTTAAGTGCTTGCTTTGGTTTAGGGAGGAAAACCACAAAGTTCTACTCACCCAATCGTCAGTGTATTCACACGTGCGGCGATTATCTGTGGATGGCCTCACCTGGATGCAGACTGTTTGCATCCAGGTCAATCAGCCACGGGTAATCCCAGCAGTTGTGAATACATGTGCCCAGCTGTGTCTAGTGGCAACTGTCTATGTATTGAACAGCACCTCCCTTGCACAGCAGATCACATGAGTCTCACAAAGGAATTCCTGCGACTTGTGCAATCGGTCCTATTGACAAATGTGAATGGGTCCAAAGGTGGAGGAGCCACAAATCCACAGATATCAGCAGTATTGGAGGGGTAGGACAGGGTAGGATTTGTCCTACCTTGCCCCTATGCAAATTGGCAATGCTCTCCTACTCCAGTCTAACAAGATCTAACACCATGATCACATAAGGCAAGCCAAGGTTGGAGGAAGAACAGACAGTTTCCCATCTCTGTGTCCGGCAGATGACTGGGGGAGCAGGACAAATGTTGCCCCATGCAGTAAGCATTTTGGCCATAGGTATAAGGACCCTGAGTGGTTTGGCTGGAATACAATGACAAACAGGGAGGCAGTCTGGAACATTTTATTATACAAGAAAATGTGTCACTGACAGAAACATGATGTGTGGGAAGCTCTGTGCCACCCCTGACAGCCTTTCCAACCTAAGCCACTGCCTATGCTGGCTATAAAGAAATCCAGCCCTGGGAAGAAGGCACGGCTCCACAGAATGAATAAAGCAGGAACAAGGAGATCTGCACGTCCTCCACTTCCACTTCCTCTCCAGGAAGCCCTCAAAGGAACAATGTGCAGCACAGTAGTAACATCACCAACTTTCCCTACAGATCTACGAAGGCAGTCCAAATCTAGTGAGAATAGCCATAGGGAATAGCCAGGGATATGCTTTAGATCAGGGGTAGCTGAACCTTGGCCCTCCAGCTCAGCTGTGGTAAATCTACAAGTCGCATCATGCCTCTGGGAGTCATGCCTGTGGCTGTCGTACAATAATCGGCAGGTATATGGGCAGCGTGCGATTGCATCTACTGTACGGCCGCACGACTTTCATCTTCCTAGCACGCTGGAAAACCTGCCACAAATCGTACGATTTTCGTCGGGTTGGTAGCGTGCTCGGAAGACGAAAGCCACACGGGCCGGTGTGCGCAAGCGCACACTGACCACTCAGCATTGCAATCATCGGCAAGCCCTCCCCTCAGTGGGGAGGGCTTGCGATGATCGCAAATACGATCTGCCTGCCCAAGATGGGCAGGTTGTACGAAATTTTAATGAGCTTACAACCATTGCACAACGAAAGTCGTGCGATGGTTGTAAGGTGTATGGCCAGCCTTACAATGTTTTATGGGACTTGTAGTTCCATAACAGCTGGAGGGCCAGGGTTTGGCTAGCCCTGCCATAGATGATCCCACACTGCAGACAAAAGATTAAATAGGCACCTTCAAATGTCAGGAAATGTAAGGCAACTTCACCTGAGGAAGACAAATTTTTTGCGGTACAGCTTAGCCACTACTAACCTTACTAGATATTCTCTATAAGGGTCACCTTACACATTACAAATGACCATACAATCAACGTTTGATTTACTAAAACTATGTTAAGGAGGACAAACCTAATTCATCCAATCAGGCTGATCCTTGTGCTACATGGTTGTTGGTAGATCTAAAGGAGATTGTACAATCAGATTGTAATGTGTGCGGTGAGTTTAAAGGTGCCCATACACTGCATGATTCTCGTACGAAATCCCGCGATCGTACGAGAATCGTGCAGTGTATGGAAGGCGTGCGACCGTTTCTACTGTACGGTCGCACGTCTTCCATCGAACAAGCAGGCTGGAAAACCCGCCGGGAATCGTACCATTCTTGGCGAGTTAGTGGCCTGCTTGTTCGACAACTGCCGAACGGGCCGGTGTGCGCATGCGCACACTGCCCGTTTGCAGTCATCGCAAGCCCACCCCTCATTGCAGTCATCGCAAGTACGATCTGCCTGTCCAAGATGGGCAGATTGTACGTTTTTTTAAGTACTTTACAACCCTGGCAAGACAAAAGTCTTGCCAGGGTTGTAAAGTGTATGGCCACCTTGAGACAGAAATACATTACTTTTTGAACATGGTTCCGTTTTAAGCACTTGAGTCACAGATGCCATTTCAAAATGCCATTTGTTCAACTTGATGTTCCTGTGGCTATTTGTCAGCTTCTATGGCAGTGTTCTTTGTTGGCTTTCAGTGACATTCAGGGCCCAGCCCTTGAAGGTGCCCATACACCGTACGATTTTTGTATGCGATCGCGTTTTCGTTCGATATTCGTACGGTTGATGGGCAGTGTGCAACCGCAAATATTGTACAATCGATCGACTTTTGACTAACCAGCAGGTTAGAAAACTTTGGTCGATCGTACGATTTTCACAAGGTTGGTGGCGTTTCCATACGTCAAAATTCGTACGATCTACAGTGCACATGCGCAGATGAAAATGCATGCAGTCAATTACCGCAATTCGTCCAGGTGCTTCTAATTACTGCTGATCTAACCTTGCGATAATCGGGGCAGGGTGGGGCCGCCGTACGAAAATCGTACGACAGTTCGATCATCGGACATCGGACGAAACGTTTTGATCGCAAGGTGTATGGGCAGCTTAACCCTGAATCAATCACCTTCTGGCCACACACCCATCCTACACAGTGCTCCGTTGAAGCACTCTGTAGCGGAGTCTGTATAGGAAGTGATGTGAGCTCCCTGCTCCTGTATGTTCCTGTATAGGTGGTACAGTTTTTTGGCAGAAGAGAAATGGAAAGTCTCTGTAGTAGAAGATACTTCTTCCTCCTATGATGGCCGTACATTGTCAGATTTTTGTTTGAACGGTTTAGTTGCTCCCACGAACGCTGGTTCGATTATACCTAGAATTCCCCCATCAAGCATAGTCAAATGTCCATTTCAGAAATGATTCATTGGCCATACAAACCAACCGATTTTTGACGAACGACGGAAATATTTGTTTGACCTATGCAGAGAAATTATTTGCTTGACCTATGCAGCTTCCCTTTTGCGCATGTGCTGTGTTCTTGAGGAGATCAGAGAAAATGTTTCCAACTTGACGTACGAAACATTTTGTTCACATTTGCAAAAAAGAAAATCGGTGTTGTACCATCATCAACTGTTTCATTTTTGTTCAAAAAATCGTTTGTGTACGATTCCCGAACAAAAATCGAACAATGTTTGGCCACCTTTACTCCTACCGTAGCAGTTTTGTTTTCTTAATTTAGTGTACGCTGCCTGTGGCACATGATCAGTGCAATGTACACTCCTGGCTCTGTTTACTATGTGATATATCTTCATACATCTATGTTTACTATGTGATATATCTTCATATATCTATGTCTACTATGTGATATATCTTCATATATCTATGTTTACTATGTGATATATCTTCATATATCTATGTCTACTATGTGATATATCTTCATATATCTATGTTTACTATGTGGTATATCTTCATATATCTATGTTTACTATGTGATATATCTATGTTTACTATGTGATATATCTTCATATATCTATGTCTACTATGTGATATATCTTCATATATCTATGTTTACTATGTGATATATCTTCATATATCTATGTCTACTATGTGATATATCTTCATATATCTATGTTTACTATGTGATATATCTTCATATATCTATGTTTACTATGTGATATATCTTCATATATCTATATGTTTACTATGTGGTATGGCTTCATATATCTATATGTTTACTATGTGGTATAGCTCTTATATATCTATATGTTTACTATGTGGTATAGCTCTTATATCTATCTTTACTAGCTATATGTTTATGTGACAGATCTTCATATATCTATATGTTTACTATGCAGTATATAGTAAATACACCATATATATGATATACTTCCTATATACTACTGGGAACATACTGAATATGGACATATGTCATAATGAATGATGCTACACAAAATCCAGGAGCCAGCACAGGGCAGCAACAGTCCTATTCCACCCCCCACTGCAGTCATCAAGAGTGACGACCAAGGCCATGCCCGCTGCGCTCCCATCTAAGGGATGCTCGCTTTAGCCACACCCACGCCCTACTGACGCAAGCGTTTCGTGCCACGCCTTCTCCTGCCGCGCCTGCTGCTGTTGCCAGGGAGCGGTTGCCATAGAGCTGAGCGATTGTCCGCGTGCGCAGGCGGAAGTTCCCGGATCAAGGAGCCGCCATCTTTCCCGGGCTCAGCTAGAGAGACAGAGGCGCTGCTGGGAGACGGACACCTACAATCGGCTTCCATCCGCCCAGTACATCACCCCTGACAGCCGCTAGCTACCGCCATGGAAGATCGAGAGCACCTAGTGTACCAAGCCAAGCTGGCTGAACAAGCTGAGCGATATGACGGTAAGAGGAACGAGCGGCTTTTTTCTCCCCATAGGTCGGCGGGCGGAGAGAATGGAGGCGAGACAAAATGGCGGACGGTCTGGAGAAGGGAGGAGAGCACAAAGGAGAGGCT